CAAAATGTAATTTCAGGGTAATGACTTTTAATCTTTTTAGTAGTTGTAAATTTCACATTCTATTTAAATGAGGATGTCTGCTGTTTTTGCGGAATGTCTACTTAAATTTGGTTTATCCTGCATATTTCTGCTGTATATTGATTGAGCAAAAAAAGCAATTCCGTCGGTGACAATTTCACATCAAAAATATGTTCAGCGCTAAGGAACACTAAATANAATTCTATTTAAATGAGGATGTCTGCTGTTTTTGTGGAATGTCTACTTAAATTTGGTTTATCCTGCATATTTCTACTGTACATGATTGAGCAAAAAATGCAATTCCGTCGGTGACAATTTCACATCAAAAATATGTTCAGCGCTAAGGAACACTAAATACATAAGCTTAGTTCATTTCTGTCTAGCAAAGTTAGTAACGACGACCTATATACGATGTCACGATCGGTAGTAAGGACTCCTGTCTCATACTCCAGATGTAAAAAATAACTTATTTAACTACGAGGCTTACCAGTCTGTAGCCTCATGCATATTCATTAGCTTTTGATAAAACTGTGCCTAAATTACGATACATTTAGTAGTAAGGCTCCAAATAAGTAGTACTCCGAGAGGAGATAATTATAAATGATGACACACAGTAGTTTCCTGATGCTGTCTAGCCTCCGCCATAGATTTTGAATTGGGTTTTTTATTGGTTTCCACTTAATCGATAAACCCATTTCGTTGACCTGTGATAGTCAGTTATTTTTAAGCGGTAAATCCTATCACTATACTAATGTACCCACCACCGTGACCCCATTACCACTGAAGCAGTGTGTTAACAGTACACGGGACAGGACGGTGACCTCTTCTTTTTGTCAAGTCATGGCCTTGCGGAGACTTGTTTACGACAAAAGTTAAATTAGAATCAGTTTTTATTGTCCACTTTTGTTGTGTAAGATTACTTTCATACAAAACATTTGCCAATTAATTTCGTGATGAGTAAGCTGTGGTTGTGTCTGACTGTTACACCGCATACGCTGTGATTCTACGAGACATTGTTAGCGGTCATTGTGTCCAGCCTCTCTGACCCTGTGACAAACCATTAAGTATGGTAACTTACCTGGATGTGTTGGTAGTCTTGTGTCACTCTTATTCAGGCATGTCCTTCAGTACACCAGGTGCCCTTTTATTACAGTACGAGTGTACTCTGACACCGGACCTATATTGTTAAGTAATGGTCAAGTTGATTTACCGCCGTTTCATTACACAGTTATATCGATATATCATCTGATAAGGGGTCCAAACCTATCATATTTCCTTCGTACCGGGTGCTCCAAGTTATACACGTGCGGAGATAACATAAGTCATCTTTCCACAGAAGCTCTGATAAGTAACAACATATCTATCAAACAATAAACAGTAATAAAACAATACTATCTTTGTGACCAGGTAGCGCATTAGATAGCACACTCACAAGTCACCAGGACGACCAGGGTTCGATTCTCCGATCGTATGTTAGGTACAGGGTCATCTGCCTGACCACGTGGGTTCTCCCTGGATATTCCAGTTTATTCCAACATCAAGACCCTATGCGCGCTACCATTTGGGCCAACAAGAAAGACTGATATAATTTGATAAAACATTTTTTTTAATCTAAATATTTAATATAAAATGTGGTTTAATTTTTATAGTATGCTTTTGCAGTGTCATGGTCTATATTTAAGTACAAATTGAAAAAGAAAAGAATATGAACGTCTGAATATTGATATTATAATATTATGTTAACGTGATTAGTCATTACAACTGAATATAATATGTTATATAAGGACTTATTATCTCCGTTTTGATTATCTCACAAATAAATATAATTAAAATCATGCAAATGCTTGCTGAAACAGTGAAATCTATAACAGATTATACAGACTAAAGGCTTCTTATTGTTACTTTGTTCACGGCGAGAATAATAATCCTTTAGACTTCGATTGCTGTCTGGAGAATATAGGGATGTCTATATATGTACTGCTGCAACGGTTGGACCTAAATTGCTGTACACTTCGAATCCATAAACGGTTTAATGTCTACTCGGGATTCGTATTGACGGCACCGTCTTTACAATCCATGCTCTTCTTGTCATACTTTGGTCATACCCTTAGGTAACCGTAGGACCGATTAATAGCTGGTCAGCTCGTGAAATATTGTAAAGGTTGATCAATTGAGTCTCAACCACTTGGACAAATAAGACTTCGAATGAGTTTCAAATATATGTTTTCTATTAACAAAAATCATTTGGATTGTGAGCGAGCTTGATACTTTTATCATTTCCGTTCATATGTAGAACGTCGAAATCAAAGGAACCACCGCGAGGTTGCTTTGTCAGTGTGCTTGTGCAACTATGACGTCATCATATTGACGGCATTCAGTTATAGTTATAGTTGTTTCCAAAAAATGTTTTTGGTAATATTATCAATCATTGAATATGGAATAAAATAAGTAAACGAAGACCCGATAGATAATTGGTGTTCGATCAATGTTGGGATAAATAAATTGAGGAAATAACGTAAAACAGTTAATGCTGAAATAAAAATATAATCGAGTCGCCCCATATGCACTGTATTAAGATCACACCTGGCACATTATGTACTTTATAAATTGTCGAGGACGTATTTGTCTGCCTCCTATTAAACCATACCATATTATCGACATCTTATCATGTACTACACAGGTAAGGACGATTTATCTAATATGCTAATATTTACTGCTCTGACAGACACAATACCGAGGTGGCCGCCAATGAACCCATTAAAGCGGTACTGATATCAAACGCTAAACATATCTGTTAGGTCGTGATTCGAATTAAGGTTATCAAACGCAAAGCATTGTCAGATACACAATACACTGCCAGTATATTACTAACATGTTCTAAGCTCAATAATAAATTAAAATTCATCATACAGCTTGTAGCTTGGAAAAGGTTGTATGCCTGTTAGGAACTTTTAAATTGGACTTCATTTGCAAATGATATTTTAAATGCAATATTTATGCAAACAAACTAATGTGGATTTTACCTTATCTACATTAAGTCAGTGCAGCTAAGTACAGCTAGGCTAAAAGCTTCAGCTGCTATAAGTACAGTGTGGCTAAAAGCTTCAGCTGCTATAAGTACAGCGTGGCTAAAAGCTTCAGTTGCTATAAGTACAGTGTGACTAAAAGCTTCAGCTGCTATAAGTATAGCGTGGCTAAAAGCTTCAGCTGCTATAAGTACAGCGTGACTAAAAGCTTCAGCTGCCATAGGTATAGCGTCATTATACAAAAGACATTGAAACCAAGAAGGGAACGAATCAGCGCCAAAACTTGCGATTTAATGCCTGGCGCGTGATCGGGTTAGACGTACCGATACGAGAGATGGCTTTAGAGCGTATACAAAGGCCACTCTGCCGAGCAAGCCAGACAAACCTTTGCAATTATCTGCCTGGACAAGTAATTTGGTCTTGGTTTCGGAATTAAAATTGGTTTCGGGATGAAATTGTTCTGTGGGGCTGTAAGTAACGGCCATAACAACACTGACTAATGGCTGTCCTGCTAAATAAAGCCGGCGGGTTAATAAGTTAGGCCAGCCAAGCCATCCCTGGGTATCAGTAGAGGGATACAGGACGATCAGGGATTGTGTCTTCACGTATCCCCTACAGGTCGACAAGAGTTGTCATTCTCCTCCATTTCCAAGGATTAGTGTCGTCGTGGGCGAAAGTATATAACGTGCAAAGATTCTTCCATTCTAAGAATCCGCCGACAGGGTATAATCCATATGCACACTCTGTTTCATTACTGTTATAAAAGATCGATAACACACTAGATTTTTTAAGGGCACCATCATGCTTGTTTTCGTAAATATTAAGACACCTGTTAGTGAACACATGAACTCGATCTTATACGCTTTCATTGTTGACGCGTCATAAATAATTGTGTCGTGGTTTTGTAGAAAAAAACAAAAAAAAACAAAAAAAAACTTTAGCAACAAAATCGACATATTGTAACAATTCCAACACTACATTATATTATTTGAATTAAGCATTAAGAGAAAAGTGGCATATTCCGAAGAGAAACCTGAAGTTTCAAAAGCTTTTTGGACAATCTGTAGATAAATATTTTTGATATAATGTTCCTAAGCAGTAGACACGTGACAATTCTAAAATATTTGACTATATGTTCTTGTTTCGGTGCTACATATTAGCAACACAGGAAAACAACATACTGGAATTTTTATGATTTCGCTTCACTTTTTATGGGCACTTTTGAAATATTGAATAAATCACGAAAAATGTCTACAGAAGAGAAATCGGTCTTGTTAAATGAAAGCAATCGTCACTAAAACGGAACTAGGGAACCCTTAAAAGTTATCTCAAGTAAACGTCGTTGCCGTTTTACACGAGATTGCCTACAGTACCACGTCTGGAGACCAGTCTGCTTCGTTTGAAGTGTACACTGCCATATCGCGAAGGGGGTAGTTACACGGAAGCCTTTAGTTGATGGCAGACAGATTGGTGGTATCATATATAAAAAAATCGAACTTAGCATATGGTCGTTGGTCCATCCAGTAAGTTGAGCAACAGGTTCAAGGAAGGCTTGAAAACTAGACCGATATGTGTGTGCTGAAAAATACCACGTTGATGGATTTGTTTACACTTAATAATAAGTTTTTGATGCAAGTGTTTATATCGTTTACGTTTTAATGTGTTATGATATTGTTTCCGTGTGCAGTTTGGTTTGGTATATGATATGAATACAAATATAACTGCATTGACACTAATGAGAAAGGGACTCCCTGATACTCCACAAGTATTAGACGTCGCTCGATTATTCTGCTGACGGGACCTCCGTACGGTAAAAAGATATCCTCCGCGTACCTTACACCGACCAGCATTTACTGTGAGTACGGATATTTGATTGTTAACAGAAGTGGAAAATCAGAACTTATTATTACAATTTTAGTGAATGACATAAAGAAACGCCCACATACTTTGCTGTGTACAGGGTTCAGTGTCGGGGACTTGTTAGATTGTCTGTGCATAGTGTGCTACCGTTCTGTCTAAGACAAGTGACGTGTTCTGGAATACAGTGAGACAATTTGAGGATGTGAAGGACCTACTGTCTGTCCAGCCTCGTGTTGACATAGAGCCATTAAGTGACCATGTCGGACGTCGTATCTACCCAGGGTCTGTCCACGACACACCTGGATACCGTCCACCAGTACTGAGCAGTAGGCCCGTCGAACAAGATAACCTCGTTACTGCGTTAAACACCTGGGTAGCTGGTTGTATGTTTGTGTACGGCCTTGGCTGTCTTATTGACGGGCAGCTGTCATAATGCTCAAAATCTAGGATTATTTGTATTGATGGATATATGTCAGTGTACGTAAAACACATACTTAGAATGGGGAAAATTGGACCCGAATTGTCAAACGAGGAGGATGATGTGTTTGAAGGTGAGTGGGTTTTTTTCTTGACAAGATTCGTATTGCTAACACTTATGCTTATATAAACATTCAACAAATTTACTCAAATTCAGATTTATTTTGTTTCCTTGTGCATCAATCGCTCGAACAAAAATTGTGTAGTATGTGCAATGTCACCACACTGCACGTTTAGGTATCAGTAGATTATATCAGACCAGAGAAGATAAGCTAGGATAATATCAGATACCATGCACACGGTTAGATTTGATATCTAGGTTTGTGTAGTAAAATGAGTGGGAAGCTTGCGACTTTTTCTATATTTTTTCCCAACCATATTTAGATATTAGGGAATTTCAAGATATGTCCTGGACTCATAGTAGATATTTAGATAATAATTCTCTTAAATTACTTCATAATACGCTTGAATCAATTTTTTAACATATCGATAGTATACACTAAGCTTTATATCATTTCGTGTCTATAGCTGTAACCTGTTAAGTCATGTACTGAGAAAAACCACATCATGAGTACAGATATTGTGAGATTGCTTACAATGGTATCGTTTCCCCACAACTTTACTTCGTTTCGAAATGTAACTACATTGTCTAGACATCTTTATAGCAGAACTCTAGTACTGCTTTTCCTGTTTGGTGACATTAGCTGGTATATTTAATCATTCCCTTATGAATGCCAGTTCGGTTAACTTTTGATTAGCTGCACATATTACAATATCTTCAATTCCGAAGTATGTTCAGTACCTACGTGAACCTATAGAAGCAATTCAGTATGATATTTGCACGATTCAGTTTGGTGGTGCACTGATTTTTTTTCCATGTGAAAATGCTTTGTTAATCTGGAAATCGAAAATAGCATGTTGTAGACTGACGGACGAGCGTGTCGTAATTATTTGTTGTATCCAATAATGATTTTGCGCTTGTAATAGAGCTACAGGTTAGGTCTTTGTGTTACAAAAATCTATATAGGGAAATATAAATAAGAAATACCGGTTTTGAATTTTTACTGATAAACTGGTTTATCATCTAGTGTTGACACTCACTGGGGGATCGTAAAATAGAGTTGCTTTATACATACAATGAAGAACATGACAATAACCCCACAATACAGCAATGTCGGGTTGGTGGTTTGATGGGGTCGGTAATTATACGAAACAAATTAATATCCTACTGGGTGTCGGGTGTCCTAAGAATTGACCCCGAGCTAAATGTAACAGACTTGGAAACTAAAGATTAATTTTGTGTGTTCAGGCAAGTATTGGAGCGTTATTCTTAAATATATTTCTTAGGTACTTCTTTCATCATACATTAACAGGCATTGTGGATACTTTTTGACAGCTAGTTGTTATTTCTTTAGCAAATACACACACAGGGCGATGGCCTTGTCTGTAGTACAAATGTATATGTACTTGGTGCCAAGATATCTTAACCCTTTCACCACTGTAGACTATAATGGACTTAACAAAAGCAATGCATGGTAGGTTTACTGAAGTTACATAGGGGTGAAAGTGTTAAGGATCCCCGCACCACTACCTTAACCCAAACCTACCAAATGGTAATTGTTTTTCCGGCATGACTATAGATTTGATAAAAAAATTCTGAAAAGGACACACTTCATTGCGGATCGTTTTTGTAAATAATAAAGGTGAAATGAAACAAATTATAATAAAAACGGTGTTCTGAGGATTTAAACTCGACAGGGCTAGACCAGGATTCGAACCATGGACCTTTAGATTATTACACTTGCTCTCTAACAGTCTGAGATTCCTGGTCTGCGGAAGTGACCTGGCTCAAATGTGCTACAGTTACATCCAAATAGAAATTAAGGGTAGGTTACTATTTATTCGAAAAATCACAGTGCTCAGAGACAGGGATTTCTTAAAAGCCTTTACGGCTAACAAGAAATGTAACGTGATGTCATCTAAAGTATTTCATTGATAAATCTTTAGGAAAAAATATTTTGATATCAATATAACTACTCTTTATAATAGCCTTAATTGGTCCCACTAAATTAATTCATTAACCCGTGAAGACACATTTGAACTCTTCAAATACAAAGGTTGGAATAGTTCATTATGAAATGTCAGGGGTAAATGAGTTAAGCGTAAATAGTGAAACCCTCCCACGGGAAAGCGTTAACAAAAGTATATCGGCGGAGGAAACTAACATTGTATGATTCTTTCAATGAAATGTGTTAATAAAGCGAGACTGGTCCATTGAGAGTACTTGTGAACATATTTGTTTATCTTTTATCATTAGCAAAACTATCTTAAATCGCTTCGGGAGAGGGAATCAGTCGCGGCATTATCGTTTGCTTGTCAATACATTTACTTGTCACTGTTTAACTCATTCACCCTTGAAATTTCGAAATGAACTATTCCAACCTTTGAATTGGAAGAGTTAAAATGTGTCTTAAGGGGTGAACGAATTAATCGCGTCGTAATTGTCAAAGGGTTGCAAACAATCGAGAAGTTACTTCTGGTTTTAACCAGTCACTCACGTGTACAGTAACGTGTATGTCTATGAACGCTCCCGTACATTCACTGGTTACATGTTTCATGCAGAATGGATATCAAATAAATTGCACATCGTGTAAACGTATATTGATGACGTATATCAGGCCCCGCACGATTTAGTTTGAAAGCGATAAATAAATTGTCCCTTTAGTATGCATGCTGCTCTGTCCTTATCAACAAATTGAAACATTTCTTATAATTCATACAATACTGGAAGCGTTTTTTGTAGCATTCAGTATAAATCCTGTTTTAGAAAATGCGTGTTAATCTGATTCAAAGTGAAATATTTGTGTTGGCAAAATGAAACATTGCAATAACTTGCTTAAATGTCAGGAGAATGATAACCTTTTAGCTGTGTGAAGTTTCATCCCAACAGCACTTACGTTAGGGATCCAAAGGTAGGAAGTGACATATGCCGGCAATACAGAGCTAGTGACACAATATGAAACAACCATAGAGAAGAAAAACGGAGAAATGAAAAACAATAAGATAAATGTGAATGTCCTTGTCTCCCAAACGTCCTATTTAGTGATAATGAAAATACCATAACATTCTAGAGAAGCAAACTATCGAAATACTCTCACACACACACAAAAACCGAGTAGATATGCAAAATGTTGAGTTCTTGCTATCTCCTGTTGAGGGTTTAATGGTATTCCGTTAAACAGATGTTACATGTTAGCACTCCTTGCCAACAAATACAAAATCCGGAGTGTGAAACTTGGTTTATCGTGTAGGCGGAAGCTGCTTTACAGATTAGTCTGTGACCAATCGAGCTAATTTTTATTTTTCATTGTGAAATTTTAATGAAATACACATATGAAACCATTTGCATTAGCAGGAATGATTCATTCCAGAACCTCTCTGCAGGATCTGTATTTCAAAAACGGAACTCCCTGGATTTAACTGATTTTGTATTAATGTGATCCAAAGCTTGACTTCAAAGAAAAGATTTTGACCAGTATTATATTTTAGCAGCATAATGTGCAAAAAATGATCATCATCAATGAGTTCTTCACGGAATTTGATTATTTTTGTTTTGCGTTGGTCCATGTGATTGTTGTTTTATAAGGCGTTTTATTGGAGGGTTTTTTCTTTGCAGTTTATAGGTGTTTGGTAGACGTGCCTCATATGTTACAAAGTAATTAATTTTCTTAATTGATTTTTTCATTGAAATGTTGAACTATTGTTCAAACGCTATCCATTGCTCTTTTCTGCCTGATGTATGCACATAAAACAGATAACAGTACACCCTACATATGTAACTGATGATATCTTGCTTAAGGTAGTATAGATATGATTAATTTCCATACAAAATATTCACTCATTTTCAGGTGAACACGTGGAGTGATTGAAGATTGGTTGAAATAAATAAAAGTATGATTGATATGCCGTCCTTGCATAATGTATCTCCTCTATCCCTCTGGCCTTAATGGGTCTTTGATGTAGGACGTGCAAGGCGGCAATTGATCGAAAACTCGCCCCAATGATTATAAGATCACTTTTACATGTGGGGAAGAGGGACTAGTGTACGCGGGTTAACTAGGGGTGTATGGTGTGGGTCCTTATCTAAATGCATATATACAGGACAATCAGCGTCAATCACACGGAGATTACTCGGAGAACCAGACGTTGTATCAGACACAGAATAGGCATTATGTCTGCTCGGCAGCGTTAAACAAAGTTGTCTAATGTACAATCGTGTTGTCTGTTTTATCCTAACCTGTGTTAAGTATTGTTTTCCTTCATAGTAAAATATTTAATAAATAATCAGAAGTATATGTCAAAATAATGTGACCAAGCAGAAAAATAAAATGTATGTAAGTGAATACATCAATCTATATTCAATGATGTAGAAAGGGTATGTAAAATAACTCGGTGCAATAGACATAGTTTGATACTTTCATATAATTAAAACACTCAATGGTGCAGGACAGTAGCACGATGTTCAGGTCGTATAAAACGCTCCACTGACTTCCTTCACTGAGATGTTAAATATTGCTTTAAGTCAAATGTTAAATATGTTAGCAAGTGCAGATACTTAATACAGTAGTATGCACTTGCTTTAACCTAATTTGTGTCTGTAGTCTATGTGAATTAAGGTAAACAACTGAAAGAGGTAACACTGTAAGTAGGTTTAAATATAGATAAGAACATTGACATATATTGCATTATGGCGTACACAAGCTAGATGCATATGCTTTTGATTACGTATCATGTTAATCAAAAGTATCTATAGTTAACATTTCGTATATAGGTTGATTAAATTAGCATGATATCACATAGATTTTCACTTATACATGTTTACCACTGCAAAACCATTCAGGGATATTGTTTACCAATATCAACGTGCAAGGAAAACTTTGGTGTTGTATCAATAAACTACATGTCCTATAATAGTAATAGCAAGGAAAGCTTTGTCCTATAATAGTAATAAGTGATATACAAATACTTTTGCTTTAAGTGGCATTTTAAAATAATGATACAGATCTATATGACA